GGTGGAATTCACCAGGGAACCCATTTGGCCCTGGTGCTTCTGTTTTGGAAGGTTATTAATTATTGATTCAGTTTATTTAATAGACATAGGTTGGTTTGCATTTTTTAGTTCCTTTGTGAGTTTTGAAAGATTGCCAAAACAAAACAAAACACATTACCATTTACATTTTTCACAAAAACTAACACAAAATGAGTCATAAACCTAAATGTAAAACACAAAACTATAAAACTTCTAGATGATGACCTTGGGTATGGTGGTGACTGTTAGATATAACACCTAAGGCGTGATCCATGAGTAACTGATAAGCTGGATTTCATTAAAATTAAAAATGTCTACTCTGTGAAAGACAATGTCAAGGAGTGTGATTGATGAATCATATGGGAAAAAACGTCTGTTAGTTTTGTAAGAAGTTGCTAAAATGTCTTCCAAAGTGGCTGTATAATTTTGAGAAGGTAAGCCATAGAGTTGGAGAAAATATTTGTGGGCACATCTAATAAAGGAAGAACTAAAATACACGAAGAACTCTTAAAACTCGATATGCAAATGAACAATCCATTTTAAAACAAGTGCAAGAGGCTTAACAGACCTTACCAAAGAAGACCTACAAATGACAAATAAGCACACAGAAGATCTCCGTGGGCAAGGGAAGTAGCTCAATGGTAGAGCACTTGCCAGGCATGCACAGGAGCCTGGGTGCAATCGCCAGCACCAAGAACAAAATAAAGAAAAAAGAAAATTCAACATATGTCATGAGTTCACCACAAATTAAAACAATGAGTTGCCACTACATATCCATTAAAATAGCTCTAATTCTGAATACTGACGACACCAAATGCTGGCAAAAATGTGGAGCAACAGGAACTCTCACTCATTGCTAGTGGGAATGCAAAATGGTGTAGCCTCTTTGGAAGGCAGTTTGGCAGCTTCTTACAAAAGTACGTACTTTTTCCATATGATCCAAAAATCACACTTCTTGTTACTTATTCAAATGAACTGAAAATGTATGTCCACAGAAAACCCTGGATTTGGATGTTTATAGCAGTTTTATTCATAATTGCTAAAACTTGGAAGCAACAAAGATGTCCTTCAGTGGGGAATGGATAAAGAAACTGTGGTACACCAGACAACAGAATCTCCTCCGCTCCAAAAACAAATGAGCTATCAAGCCATGAAGACTTGAAGGAAGCTGAAGGGTATATTGCTCCCTAAATAAAAGCAGCTTGTCTGAAAAGGCAACACAGCATATTATCCCGACTATACAACATTCTGGAAAAGGCAAAACTTTGGAGACAATAAAAGATCAGGGGTTAACTGAGAGAGAGATGAATTCATGGAGCACAGAGGATGTTTAAGAAGTAAAATTACTGAGTGATAATGCAGTGGTGGGTGAATGGAATCATACATTTGTGAAAATCCACAGGATGTACATCAGCAAGTGTGAACCCTCAGACAAACTGAACTTTGGATGACAATGATGTGTGGGTGTAGGTTCCTTGGTTGTGATAAACGCACCACCATGGTGTGGGATGTGGGTAGTGGGGGAAACGGGGATGGCAGGGGGTATTCTCTGTCTTTCCACTCAATTTTGCTGTGAACCTACAACTGCTCTACTAAATGAAATTTAATGAGAGTGGGGGGGTTACTCTCCCTCCTCCTTGTTCACTTTTCCACTTTTTTTTCTTTTTTGGAGGAAGAAGGGGTGTGTTACTGGGGGCTTAAACTTGACCTGGACTGTGATCTTATTTATGTCTCCAGCAGAGCTGGGATGTCAGGTGCACACCACCATGCCCAGTTTTTATTGGGTGAGATGGGGTCTCCTTAACTTTTTGCTAAGACTAGCTTCAAACTGCTGTCCCCTTGATTTCTGCCTCCTGAGTAGCAAAGACTACAGGCATGAACCACTGTGCCCAGTTCTTTCCACTTGCTATGTAGCCCAGGCTGGCCTCAAACTTGTGATCCTCCTGGCTCCAGCTCCTAAGGCTGTACCACTATGCCTGACTAGATGATTATTAAGCCAGGTGCAGCCTAAGAATGCTGATTGGAGTGGAAGTTACAATTTATAAGCCTGAAGCAGCCAGAACTTTCTGTTCCTGTGGACTAAAATGGTATGAATCAACTTTGTTGTGGACTGAGTTGTCATTTAAGACCTAATGCAGCCAAAGCCTTTCTCCACCAGGTTAAGTTTATTCTCCTACTTCTTGGATCTGACCTGAATTGCAGGAATGTAAGAGTAGAAAGAAGTCACTAGAAAGCAAACTTCAACTTCATGAAAGGAAGAGTTTTCAAATAACCTTGGATCTTGAGTAGCTGCCCATGATGGAATCAGGAGCAAGCTCAGCAAAGACCTTCACACTTAAAGTGGGAACTTCTAACTCAGTCTGTGTTCTGACAGGGACGGCAGGAACCCTGCCATGGCAGCCCTGGGTAAGTCTGGTTTCCCTGTACCTGCCTGCATATAAGCTCTAAAAGTTCAGCCAGAAAGGGAAGGTAGGCAGACTGTCCTCCTCCAGCAGGTAGGAGACTAGGCCACATGGAGCCAAGGATCTCTGGAGGATGTACACCGGAGGAAGGGCATGGTCTTCTGGCCCCCAGGTTGGCTCTCCCTTTAGTCTCTGCACATGCCTCAGAGTTCCAGGCCCTTTCTGCCACATGGAAGGTGTCAGGGCTGCACTGTCACATGGTATGCCTCTGCATGAGAACTTCGCAGTCTACAGAGCACTTCCCTGACTTCTATCCCTTTGAGCCTTGCAGCAAACTGGGAGGCAGGCAGGAGCAGCATTACTTTTAGTGGGCATCACAGATGGACAATCTGAAGTTCATAGAAGTCAGCTGACATGGCCAATGTCAGCCAGTCAGTGATAAAGTTGAAACTTTAAGCCAGCTCTCCTGGCTTGGACCCTGTGTCTTCCTTTAGTCTCCTGTCCCCCAGATACCTCACAAATCATCAGAAGAAATCATCTTATCATGTACTCTTTCTACACAACCCAACCACACCTGGCAATCTCTGACCTGGAGTTAGATGGGACAGGTGCAGGGTACAGGTGGCTCCATTTGATAGATAAGCAAGTTAGGGCAGAATGGCTCAGTGGTCCACCAGGAATGGAATCTGAGTTAAGTCTGATCTAGAATAGACCACTGACAAGGAATACGAACCTGGCACAGTTTTCTCCCTCCTCCAACCCAGACCAGCCTCCAATGAAGGCCCAGCTGGGCCTGAGCCTCACACATATTTTGTAGCAGAGAAGGAGAATTCATGGCGGACAGCAGCCTCCCTCCTTGAACACACTGTGGCGTTAAGTGAGGCCTGCATGCAGTGGGTCTCCACTGTCCTAATTTCCCACCTGAAGACCTAGATAGAGTGTCTAAATTTTCCTCCAGCTGATGACTGTCCCAGATTCAGCCTCTCTGATGGATACCTCTCCTCTCCCCCACAGCCCCCCTGGGGCTGTTTCTGCCACTCTCGCCCCATGCCGGGCTTTCCTGGATCACCTGTTGTTAAGTTACTGACGGTGCACCAAAGTCTCATTCACCATGCCTGGGATTGTATGGAGAAGATGGCAAAGGCAAGCTCTCTTACTTGAGCCATGCCCCCAGACCACTGATGGAATTTTGGAAGAAGAAAAATGAAGACAGATTGTCCTACTGGATTAAATCTAAGATGTAAGGTAAAGTTGCAAGAGCCAAATCTGTTCATTTGTTGGTTATTTGCTCAAACAGTTACTAAGCATTCCTCTTGGGTCAGGTGCTGTGCCAGGCCTTGGAAGGTTTGGGGTGTAAAAAAGACCCAGTGATCCTTGACTTTGGGGTGTGTTTGAGAGTCCCATGAGAAGTGTTTGGGAAGGTGCAGCATTTCTGAGAGCTGAATCAGAAAGTTGGGCACTGAGCCAAGGCTGATGACCTCAGCCCTATGGCTTGGCCAGGGGAAGACAGGGGAAAATGACTTAAGCAAAGAAAAGTGGACTCAGTCAGGCCTTTTCTATCAACATAGGCTACTGTGGACAAGCCATCCACAGCTCTGGACCTCAGACAGTTATCATGCAGGATGGGTCCAAAATTAATAACATGAGATGGGCATGGTAGTGTAAACCTGTAATCCCAGCTACTTAGGATGCTAAGGCAGGAGGGTGGTGAGTTCAAGGGCAGCCTGAGAACTGAGTGAGGTCCTGTTTTAAAATAAAATTTAAAAAGGACTGGGGCTACAATTTGGCTAGCACATGAAAGGCCCTGGGTTCAACACCCCAGTACCACAAAAATAAATGAATAAAAATAACACAAGTATCATACTAACAAACACAGATATTCATTAGGCAGGTACTATATGCCAAGCATTTTACATGTAACATTTTGTTTAATCCTTATCCCTAAAAAGATAGGTTTTTATTTTTGCCCTCATTTTTCAGATGAGAATAATGATACTCAGAGAGGCTAAGTGACTTGTCAAAGTACAATCACAGGCAGTCTGGCTCCACAGTCTGCACTGCTAACTATTACCCTACCCTGTCCTTCAGGTGTGGGAATGACTGCTCAGGACAGGCAAGGCCCTGTGCTACATAGAGATTGGAAAGGAAGTGGATTTTGGTGGACAGGCTGCTTTAAACCAGTAATGAATCTGCCCAGGACTCATCTGTGGACATTGAGAAAATGAAGGGGTACTAAGATCACCAAATTCCATCACCAGAAGCCCCTTATGGATAACAGAGGTGTCACAGCCCCTGTGGATATCAGTGACAAGTAAAGTTTTTGGATGACTTTTTCTCCAGAAGGTGGTCAGCCACCCGATTTACTTTCCTCCTGAGAGATGCGCTTCCTGCCCAGAAGCTACAGCAAATTGGGTGCATTGTCACCTCACTTGGCCTCCCTGACTTTCCAGCAAGTCCAAGACTGGGTACCCAGTCACCTACATGGTTCCTTCACGCCTGAAACAAAGCCAATGTGCAGTGGCCATGAATGGGGAAGTGGTAGGAGGGGTGGCCGTTCTGAGCATCCACCATGGCTCCTACCTCTCTCTGCTCCCTCTGAAGGCAGAGTTCTTCCGTCTCTTCCATCAGTTTGTCTGCCAAAGCAAACACACACTCACAAGAAGCTCACCCAGGTTAGAGGTCCTCAGGGGGCAGGTGCCCCAAGTGGTCTTTGTCACCCCCACCATCTCCCAGAGAAGAAGTCAGCATCCCCACTAAGCTACCTCATCTGAGCTACTTCCCTCCTTTCTGGTCATTATTCCTGCTTTGTTCCCTTCACGGGGCCTTGACCTTGGAGGCTCAGGTGGATCTCTGTAGCTTCCCCCTCACCCCCAGCTAGTCCTCAGTGTCTCCCACCTGCGGTAGTGTCTGGCTAGTGGGACAGCAGAGTCCTAGGGGTGAGGAGAGTGGTGCCTAGAGCACAAGTGCCTAAGCAGGCAGAAGGGGGAGGATCCCAGGCAAGGAACCAGACCTCATCTCACCGACTTTTCCCCCAAACAAAGCTTACTTATCAGCCAGTCAGAGCACAGGGGCCTGGAGCCTGTGGCCAGTTTTAAAGTGCAGCACCTGGGGCCCAGGGTAGGATAAAAACATCATCTCCAGACACAGCACTTACAGGTATTTTCCTGTTAGCCCAATCTCCACCCCACCTTTAAAAGCTGGGAACTATTTTGCTCTCCACTTTAAGGAGAAAGAAATTAAAGCTTAGAGAGGTTGTGCTGTTTCAAGACACACACACAGCTGAGAGATACGTGACAGGTCTAGTCTAGAGCCCCAGTTCCTGGCCACCAGGCCTTCCTGCTGCTGCCACCACCCTTCTGCGTCCCCATCCCCATGCTGGTCAAAAGAACATTTAATACACCACAAAGCCCTCCAGGCACCAAGCTGCCCGCTAAGCCCCACAGGAGACATCTCCACCCCTGCCCATGCCATCCTCCAAGCCCCTGGCTGTAGCCGATGCCCCCCAAGTGCTGCCAACGGGAACCTCACATTCCAGCCCACCCCTTCCAGTCAACCTAAATACTCCTGCTTTTCCTTGGCCAACTGAAGTCCTTGGGCCTCCAGGCTTTTGATCATGGCTTCTCCCAGCTGGGCATTCTTCCAGGTCCTGGGGAGGGAGGACAGATGGGACAGAAGAGAGAAGAGGAAGAAACACAAAATTGTTAAAGCAGAGGGCTGAGGAGAAGGAGAGCACACATACTTTGTGCTCGCCCATCCTCTCCCCTCCAGAACCTCAGCTGGCGCCCACTCTGGCCCCCCAGGCTTTGGGCCACCAGCACTGATCATTTACAGTAACTGGAGTCTGGCCTGGCTGCAAGGTGGGCCACAGGGGCTGGGCCAAAACCTCTTTCAGAGCAGGGAAGAGACTACTTCCTGGTGGCTTTCTACACCACATATGCCCACCACCTAGCATAAAGCTGGGCACAGGGTGTGTGAGTCAGTGTCATTTGTTGGCCCAAATAGTGACCAGCTGGAATGGGCAGAAGCCTGGACAGGGGTTTATGTGTAGATGGACTACTTTGGCTGGGGTTTTTGTGACCTGGACCCTGACTGACAAAACGCTAGCTCTGGTCCTTGCTAGGATTAATCGAGATGTCAACTACAGCCAGTGATGCTGGATTCGCTCCCAAGAGCTAGGGGCACATGGTCTCCTATGTCTGTCACCTGTGACTGTAGACACTTTCCAAGCTCACTGACTTAGGGAACCTTTACAGCTGAGTTGTCTGTCTGCCTCCACCCACTATTAAGCTTCCACAGGATCCCAGTAAACAGCAAGGGAGTTCTGAGCCCACCCAGCCCATCTCCTCTACTTCTGGCTCATCAACAGTTCATCTGGCAGACACTTACACCTTCCCAGACTCCTGCAGCATCTCCAGCCACTGCGTCTGCTCAAACTCTGACTCAGCAGCCAGCAAGATGTTCCCCTGCCAGGAAGAAGAAGCTGGTGTGCCTAAGAGGTGGCCACTCCGAGGGTGAGGGAGGCTCACTTCACTCTCCCCCACCTCACAATCTGGGGCACTGACAGCCCTCCCAGGCCAGGTCACGCAGGGTTGTTCCAAGGGAACCAAGAAGAAACTGGTCCACCTCTGCTGAACCCAAGCTGCAGGAGACCTTCACTCACATGGAAGTCCTGGTGTGAGATCTTCATGGCGTAAGGCATGCTGGGCTCTTCCTTGGCCTCTACCAGGCAGCCTCCCAGAGGGATGACACCCTGAAGGAGAACCAGAATGGACAGCCCCCACCCAACCCAGCTCATGTCACTAGGGGGATCCTGTGGCCCTTGGATAAATCCAGGTGCCACCAACAGCCTGGATTCCACAGACCTATGGCCACAGGACAGAGGCCAGAACTGACCCTCAAAGGGAAGAGGAAGGGCTGGGCAGGCTTTAGGGGATAGGAGGGTAAGGGTCCAGCCCAGGAGGGCTGTGCCTCAAGAGAATTTGCTATCCAGCCTTCTGGCTAGACAACAGCAAGACAACAGATATTCCCCTACCATCTCCTGACATCCCCACTGGGCCCTCCCCCACTGTAGCCTTGGGGCAGGGCTGCCTCACCTTGGGATGTATATTGAAGTATTTATTGGATTCGAAGCTTTTTCTTTCACTCTCAGAGTAGTAAAGCAGAAAGCTCTCTTTGATGATGAAAAACCTGCAGTGAGTGATGGGGAGGGAGGGATAACCAGGAGAGAAGGGGGTAAGGTCTCTCAGGACAGCAAGAGTGCCCTTGGGGGCCCTGGTCTCATATGGGAGCCTGTGGGGATACCACATCACACTCCACATTGCACAAAGGCCTCAGCCCACCAGCTGGCCTTCCCTGCAGACAGCACAGCCCCTCCCCCCACCAGGGCAGCGAGGAGGGAGGCCTATGGCTGCTTCCAGGGTTGCCTGCCTCTGTTTCCTGAGCAACATCCTCAGCACAGCAGGGCACGTGTGGTCCTTCCCCTCATGCTCCTTCATGCCTTGAGCTAGCACTCCCACTCACTCAGGGGCTCCCTGGGCATGGTAGAAGGAGGGGAAGAAGATGCACAACTCTAAGATGTGTCTTTTGGTGTAATCTTAAGCGGTAGTAACCAAATGGAATTGGGTACCAGGCTGGTGAGACCAACTAACATCCCAAGGAGACACGCCTTGCCTTTGTCTCAGACTGCTCATAGCCTCTTTCTGGGACTCAAGTCTAACAGGATCACCATGCTTTCTGGCTGTTAGGGAGGTCTCGATGCCAACATGTGGAACACTTGGCCCACCCTGGGGGACTCTTAATGATGTCGTGGTTGACGCTCTAAGACACCAGGTGCCCCCTAAGGGAACATCCAATTGGGCCTCAAATTCCCTGAGGCTCAGAGACACCCAGAATGGCTGGCTCCTTCCTCCAGGGCCACTGTTGTAGTGATGTGATGTGAGCAGGAGGTGATGGGGATTCTGAGTTGTTGAGTGTGCGGAGAGTTCAAAGCAGCAGTACGTTGGAGAGTGCTAGGATGGGCTCACAATAGCCAACAGTGTGACTCTCTCGCCTGCCCTGCATTCAGTGACATGGCATTGGAACTTGACACTGGCCATGGTGGGAGTATTCACACCGTGCAAATCAAATACTGTAGAACTGCCCAACCCGCTCTGCCTAAGAGCCTGTTGTTGAATGGTTCCCAGCACCATTAGTTGGAAGCGCCTTCTGGTGAGGGGCTTGAGAAGTTACTGGTGGGCATCAAGAAGTCCGAGAATCTCTGCAGGTCCTACCAAACTACCAAACGCGCACTCTTTCCTAAAGTCACAGCTGTTGTGGGAGTAGGGTGGAAGGGCAGGCCTGGGTCTGCAGACAGCTTTTCTAAGCAGAATAAAATCTCTTTGTGCTTTGCTGTGAGCCTTGTGCCAACAAATTGCCTAGTTTTGTTGCTGCCGTTGCTGTTTTTGGTGGCACTAGGGTTTGAACTCAGAGCTCGCACTTGCTAGGCAGGTGCTGTAACTGCTTGAGCCACTCTGCCAGCTCTGTTTTGGTTTTTTTTAAGGTAGGGTCTTACTGTGTAGTCCAGACTGGCTTCAAACTTATGATCCTTCTTCTCAGCCTCCTGAGTAGCTGGGACTACAGACACACAGCACTATATCTGGCTTCTTCATTTTCTTTATTGACCCTAACCCTCCCGGCCCAGTCACATAACAGATACATCCCTGTGGACGCTGCTCAGGGGTGATACTCTGCTAATGCAAACTCTTTCCCCAAGCTTTTCTGCCCCCAGTGGAAAACACACATGAATACCATCCACTGTAGAACTGTGATGACATGGTGACATTCTGGCCCCACCTACTCCTCTGCCCTCTGCTTTCCAACGTCTGCCTTTCGGTGTCTCTGTGCTCCAGGCGCACGTGGAGCTCAGATGGGACTGTACAGCTCCACCTGGAATGGCTTCCCCTCCACTCTTCATCTGGCTGAGTCTCCACACACCTGGTGACCAGCCCAGCCCACACTGACGTCTGCATTCCTGCACTTGTTGACAGGGCTGTGAACTTGACACTTAGCACCACTACCACACCCTGTGTGCTTTTCCTGCACAGAGGAGGCCACTGGACTCTGGGAGGGTGGCCATGCCACTTCAACCCATGGGTCAGGTAGATGTCCCTGTTTATTCCAAGGGACCGTCACAGAGTATGTAAGAGCATAGGCTTTGACAGCAGGCAGACCTGCCATTTTCTAGCTGGGTAGGTGAGGGGCCTTGGGCAAGAATACGTGGCTCTCTGAGCCTTAACTTCTTTGCCTGTAGAGTGGGTGATAACACCTACCTTACATGGTGATTGTAAGGAGCAAATGAGATTTTGCTCAGCCTGGGGCCAGCTGGCTGAGGGCTCAGGATGGGCTGGGATGATAATGGCTACAGGAAAGGTAGACAAGGAACACAGAGCTGTTTCTGTCCCCCTCCGCAGTATTTGAAATAATACCTTGTCTTGTGTTGAAGCCCTGACCCTACTGTATTTGGAGAGAGGTTTTTAGGAGGTATCTCAGGTTAATGAGATGATAAGGGCAGGGCCCTGATCCAATGACTGTGGCTTTATAAAGAGGAAGATCTCTCTCCTTTTTCCTTCACTCTGTCCTTTTTAAACCCCTCCCTACTGCCATATGAGAACAGATCAAGAAATTAGCCTGAGAATGTGGCCAGTGTGTAAATCAGGACCCTCGCCAGAACACAACTATCCTGGGTGACAGTGGTGATATTAACCAGGGTGGGAAGAGGGAAGCTAATTAAGAAGGCGATCTTAAGGACTGGAGGTATAACTCAAGTGACACAGCACCTGCCTACTAAGCACAAGGCCCAGAGTTCAGTCCCCTACAGCACTGCCACAGGAGCAGCAGGAGGAGAACAAGATCTTAGCTGGGCATGATGGTGCAAGCCTGTGATTCCAGTACTCAGGAAGCTGAAGCAGGAGGAGTGAGCTTGAGGCCAGCCTGGTCTATGTATCGAGACCCTGAAGTAGAAAAAGAAGGAGAGGGAGGAGGAGAATAAAGAAAGAAAGAAAAGAAAGGTGATCTTTGAAGAGAGGGAATATATTCCACGTGGAGGACCCACAGGTGCAAAGGTCCTGAGGTAGGACCATGCCTGACTCTGGAAGGAAATGCGAGGCTGCAGCAGACGGATCAAGGCTGAAAGGAGCAGGTCCAGGTTGTTCAGGGCCTATGGCTACTGTAATAGCAACAACGACAGAGTTTACACTCATTTAGCTCTTACCAAAATCACGCTTACTGCACGCAGCTACCTCTGTTAATGCGTTTAGCACTCACTATTATCCTAGGAGGCCAGTGCTGTCTGCATTTTATGTAGGCAGAAACGAGGGGAGCGGTGGCATGACATGCTGACAATCACACTGCTGGGTTTTTCTTTGAGTAAAAGAGACAGCCCTGAGAGGGCTTTGAGCAGGAGGGACATGAGCTGACTTACATTGCAAAGGCTTTGTCCTGGACACCATGCTGAGAGCTGATTGTTGGGGGAATGGCAGGGGATCCGTTAGAGCTGATATCACACATCACTGGGGGCAAGAGATCTGGTGCATGGAGATAGGTAGAGCCCAACAACAGGATGTGTTCCCAGATGTCACTCCCTCCATCTGAAGCACAGCACAGAGGCAGGCAGAAGGAGGTGGATGTCCAGGGCAGCCTTTGCTCCCTCCTGGCCAGACATCAGTAGGCCCAGGGGCTGCCGTGGGTTACAGGGATTGCAAAAGGCCCATGTGCTACAGGTGTCACACTTGGCCAGCTGTAGCTGCTCTCATCTTGGTGGGGTGGAGGGGGTGGTCAGCAGCACTAGCACAGATCTAGAGGGAGAGGACAGCCACCTAGCTGGCAGTGATGAGTACCCCACACCATGGGCTCATTTAGCAAACACACTTTTGAGAATCAAAGGGCCTCTTGGCTCATCAGCCTGCCTCAGTGGTGACTACTGCTCCAACTGGTGATTCTCAGCTTCTGTTCAGCAGTCGGGGTCACAGAAGGACACTTCTTCTTTGGACTGCAAGCCCAGGGGCCGCTCCTTCAGAGCTGGGCCCTGCAGAGTTGGGCTGGGTATGCAAGAGCTGGAGAGAGTCACTGTTTACTGAGCCATTCTCATGTCTGGGCTTCCCCGTTGGGAGTTCTACATGTGTCAGGGTTCTTGATCCATGCAGCAATCCTGGTGGCAGGCCTTTCCTTTCCATTTTAAAGGTGAGGAAACTGAGGTTTAGAAGTGAAATAACATGTCCAAAGACACATGCCTTGTGCAGAGCTGAGTGGTGAGCTGGGATCAGAGCCCAAGGCCACTAGATCCTATTTCTACTCCCCACACTGCCTAAGCTCCTGGCCAGCACACCCATGGGTGGGCCTGGGGAGGTGGGGAGCAAGGTCAGGGCAGCTAGCTTAGATTAGCTGCCACTTACCAGCTAATCTGCTAAGGCCTCAGGTCCCCCATGTGCAGCTTGAAGGTTACAATCATCAATGCCTGTGTCTCTCAGGGGTGTTGGGGAAGTGAGGGTGATCACATGAAGACTTAGAGCATCGTGGCAAATACTTTTATTATGACCACTGTTCACTATCCTCAGGCTCAGTATCGCTGCAGCCTCCCCTGACCTCCTTTTCCCACAGTTCCACCAGAGGGAGCGGCTGGCTGCGGCCCAGCTGGAGACATCCAGCCCTCCATTCACATGACAAGGCTCTGCAGCCTGTCTGAAGCCCACCCTTTTGTCCAGGCTGGCACCTGTTCTGGGAGAAGCTTCACTGCCATTCCTGGCTCTTAGGATCCTCCTCGTCTGCCACTGTGGGTTGTGAGGAAGCCCAGAGCAGGGAAGAGTTTCATGTCAACACTGGCTGCCTCTTCTCTCTTAAAAAACAGTATTTCCACCTCTAAATGAAGGAACATGTTTTAAAAGGAAGCAAGACACTCACTTTGCTGAGTGTTTTGTTAACATTATCTTATTTAAGCAACTCTAAAAGAAGAGGGGATTAGTTTTTGGTTTTTGTTTTTGTTTTTTTCACTGATGAAGAAACTGAGGCACAGAGAGACTGAACAACTCCTAAGTGACAATCTTGGGACTCCTCTATAGCTTCTGACAAAGCTCATGTTCTCAATGGCTTGTGGTCTGTAAGCTGGGACTTCTTGTCATGTAGGGAGTTGTTTGTCTCCTGAGAGCTGATCTTTG